CACCATCATATTTGAGGGACAGTTTTGCTGGGTATATAGTTCTTGGCTGAAAATTTTTCTCTTTCAGGGTTTTATATATACCATCCCATTGCCTTCTCGTTTGCAGGGTTTCGCCTGCGAAATCAGAGCTTATTACTGGTTGTCCTTTGTAAGTAACTTTTTTTTTCCCGTGAAGCTTTCAGGATTCTTTCTTTGTCTTTGATTTTGATGAGTTTGATGTCTTGGTGATTTTCTTTTGGGGTCTATCCTGTTTGGGGTTCATTGGACTTCCTGAATGGATATATTGTGATCTTTTATCATATCAGGGAAGTTCTCCTCCAACAAATCTTGGAAAATTTTCTCAGTGGTTTTATTAATTCTCTTCCTGTTCTGGAATTCCAGTGATATCTAGGTTATTTCTTTTGATGGTACCCCACATGAACCTTAGGCTATCTTCATTTTGTTTTGATCTTTTTTCTGATTGATCACTATCCAAAGAAGTATTCACGTATTTGTCTTCAATCACATTAATTCTGTCTTCCATTGCATCAATTCTACGCTTTTGCCCTTCTAATGTGTTATCTATTTCTGACAATTTAGTATTAATCTTCTGGATTTCTAAATGTAGATTTAGAATCATTTCTAATTTTTCATTTATTTTGTCTTTTTGTTCTTATATTTTCTTCCAAATTCTTCTAGGGTTTAGTCTGCGTTTTCTTTGGTCTGGCTCTCAATCCTTTGAAGATACCTAAATATATTTCTTTTGAATTGCTTATCAGAGAGTTCCAGTGCTGCTTCCTCCTCAGGGATGTGTTCTGGGTCTGTATCCTGCTCCCGTGTTTCTACCACTTTATCTTGCTTCTTTGTGTGGATTATGATGGTCTGTTGTTGCTGAGAAATTGTGGCACTATTGTGTTAGATCTCTGTTAACTCTTTGTGAAGAGCAGCCAAGGGTGAGTCAGGCTGTTCTTGGTGGTTGTTTATCATAGGCCTGTTGGTGGAGAAGGAAGTGATGGCTCTCAGTAATTGAAGCTGCAGGAGGTATGTGTGTAGTTGTGTCATATGGGTACTGTTGTTGTCTTCCACTTAGATGAAAATAACAATTGAATAACCATCAAAAAAGTAAAAGCAAATGGACAAAAAATACAACGTGTAATCACACTGCAACAGTCATTAAAAAAAGAAAAAAGGGAAAAAGAAGAAAAAGAAAAGAAAACAACAACAACAACAAAAAAGAAGTATCTGGGGAGAAGGCAGTAACAGAAAACAGGTAGAGAAAGAGAATAATGAAGAAGGAATTGGGAAAACCGCAATAAGAAAAACAATGAATGGGGTTAACCGCAATAAAGAAAAAGGAAAAGAAAATTACAACCAGGAACAGGGAAAAGAAAAAAGCTGAAAACTTGAACCTGGGAGGAGAAGAATAAAGAATAGTAGTAAAAGGGACAAAAGTAATGATAATAGTAGTAGTTTTAAAACAGACAAAAACCAATAAAGAAAAAAACAGAAAAAAGAAAAAATAAGGATGGGGGCAGGGTAGGGCACCCAGGTTCTGTTCGAGCACACGGACTGGGGTGGAGTTCCTGCGGGCCCAGAAGATGGGTGGGAGTGAGGGATGGCCGCACCTCTGTTCACCAAGAGGGTGTGGGGTTTAGGAGTAACAAGGACAATGTCATCACACCTTTCCAGTAGTCTAGGTCCAGAATGGCCTTGGGGTCACTGGCAAGTGGAACCTGTTGTTAAGTCCCTGGAATCTGGGAGAATGCTGTCACTTTAAATATCCAGAATGCTCAAGCCACTTGTAAACATTCAAAATGGCTGCACCCTCCAGACAGACAGAACTCCACAGCTCAGCCCACTGTCCTCTTCGCTGCTTTCCCTTTTATTCCCTAGGCACCAGAACAGTCTTAAGTTCTTAAGTCCCTTGAATCTGGGAGAACACTGTTGCTTTAAATATCCAAAATATTTAAGCTGCTTGTAAACATTCAAAATGGTTGCGCTCTCTGGACAGAAAAAAGTCCACAACTCAGCCCACCATCCTCATCGCTGCTTTTCCTTTTATTCCCCAGGCACCAGAGCAATCCGTTGTGCTGTCCCTGGCTAGCAGGGCTGCTTTTTGGGTTAATTCTTAAGTCTTACCACTACTTGGTAATATCCAAGCTGTCTGTGACATCAGGATCGCTGCCAAACTGCCACTCTGTATGTCTCCTTTTTTGGTGTTTTCGTGCAAATTCTTCTGCTAGTTGGAGTTTAATCTACTTCTATATTATCCTTCCCTTCAAGGCTCAGGGGTCCAGGATTATCTTCTGTATCTGTATTAATTGGTTCCCCTTTTCTTTGTTGAAGAGTGTCTGTGCAGTCTTTCTGCCTATTCCCGCCATCTTCAGTCTTAGCTTTCCTGTGGATTCTTGGTCTTTCTCTTCACTTTTTACATTACATATTAGTGCTATTTACCCATTTGTAATATAAATTGTGGCATTCACTCCTCCTCCAATGTATCACTCATCTTTTAATTCTATTTCTTTTTGAGGAGTTCTCACCCTTTGACTCTGAGTTGGGAGTTTGGGAAGAAGCATGAACAAGGGATTGGGTCATAATATTTTGTTTTTATGGAAATGAGAGGCTTGGTCATAATGGAAAACAGGAAAGTTGGATTTCTAATGGTGACTAAGGTAACTAGGAATACATAAAGTGGAATGGATTTTGTCCATATCGTCATCAGTGGATTAGGAGTTTGGGGCTGACTTGATAGTTGTGGGGGTAGGCAGTCTAAACCAACTGTGACAGTATGCCTCTGATAATATTACAGTCACTCAGTAGCCCTTTTAGTAGACCTCACTGCATGTGCTAATCAAGAGGGAATGGTTCTATTGGTCAGATTAAGGATTTGTCATGGATTATTCCAGTGTCCTGAGAATGTTTTCTTCTTCTATTGTCAGACAAGTCCATTCATGTCTTCTGCCCATTTTTTAATTGGATTGTTTGTCTTTTTGTTATTGAGGTGTTGGAGTGTTCTATAAATTCTAGAGATAAGTCC